ATTGTATTTAGGTTAGGTTATGATGTAAAGAAATAACAAGCTTATGATGTTCCACTTCTAGATATGGCTTCTCTTAGTCGAACCACGAATTATAATCATGCTTGTAAATTAATTTTTGATATACTACTGAGATATCGTCTCAAAATGATCAATGAAAAATTAAGAAAGGTATGTATACTTTGATTGCATTTAAGTTAGATTAAATAATACGTTTATGATGATTTCCAGATATGGCATCTCTTTTGATATTATAATCAAGAATTATAATCAAGCCTGCAAATTAATTTTCGACGATAAATTATCGTCTTGGATATAGGAGAACGCTGAAAAATTAAAAAAGATACGTATATTTTGATATTTTTTTTTAGGTTAAGTAATAAGCTTATGATACTTCAGTTCCAAATATGGTTTCTCTTTCATTCTCTTCTTTGTTTTGTTTCCTTTTAGTTTCACGCATGCAATTTCATCGCAAAGTAAAAAGCAAATACAAGAATTATTTCCACCATGCAAACCAATAGACGAGGATATCGCGTTTCGATATATAAATTTTTCTACCGTGTTCGTTACGAGCTGAAATGTTGAACAGTAATAAAAATGTCTTTGACCCACTCCTTTCGCATCTCTCTCGAAAACGTTCCTGGACGTTTCTCAACTCGGAATCCCGGGGATAGAAAAAGCCGCGATGGCACCAGAGGAGGACGTGCCAACCTGTAATTGTTCTCCGATGTAATTGCCCCCTTGGCTTCCCCCATTCGTGCTCGAGGACCTGGTGGACCCCCTTTCCCTCCCTCTGGCAGAATTCTCAGCAACCAATTTCGAAAAGCAAGGACGTATATTGCGAGCCATCTCACCGTTCTCTCGAGGTATCGTTGTTCGACGTCCATTATTCTCTTCACCCGCGGTTAACATCCAGATTCTTTCTTCACCTTTTTAATGAGATCGTTTTCTCGCTGTTTCGCTACTTTGTGCTGTTAACTGGGCGGAAGGTATGCGCTACGAATTCACCTTTAGTTTAGGAAGTAGAATCCTTTCTCCTCGTATACCGCGGTAAACGGTAAGTGCAAGTAAGTTTTTTACTAAATAGGTAGTTTCTGGTTACTCGAGTTACGTCGTTTAATTTTCAAGTTACTCGGAGCAGAAATTTTTTTGTAAATATTCGTCGAATTTATCGTAGATTGCTTTTTTTATGTAAACGGTCTACCGAATCGGTTATATATGGTATAAATTACAAACGTATACGAAACGTATAGAAAAGCAGCGATGAGGAATGGACATGGCCCATTCGGGTAAACTTGATAAGAAAAAGGCAATGGGATGGTGGGTCAGTCTCGGATCCGGAATCGGATGAAAAGCAAAGTGTCACGTCCACGGATGAGCGACAACGACGCGCACCGGCTCGCGAAGACGAAATCGAGCAAAACAGAGTAGGAAGGAGAGGAGGAGGCGTTAGAGAACATGAGAGAGAGAGAGAGAGAATCCTCCATTAGTCGAACGAAGAAATCGAGATCGAGAAAAGAGAAGAAAGAGAAAGAGCAAAGAGAAGGATCGAATTAAGAAGAAAAAGGAAAGAAGAGGAAGGAGAAAGAGAGATGGGTGAAGATCTCGAAGAGCTGAATCGAGAGAACGGTTCGATACGTTTATGGAGAGGTTCGAAGTCGTGGAATAAGGGCCGGGAACATAATTATCCGCCAAGTCAAGGAACCCAAAGAGTCGGAGAGACGCGAGGATAAAAGGGAGGGGGATACCGCGCGACAGAGAGAGAGAGCAGAGGGAGGAGAAAGAAAGAGGATAAGAGAATCGCAAAGAGAATCTTATTCTTCGGTGCGGCTGGAATTTGAAATGTTCAGAGGGCGCATTATCTTCTTGCCACCGCCACTCAGCGCCACTCACGGATTCCGTGATGGTGCGTACACCTTATTTCGATACGCGAGTGTGTACACGTTCCATGCCGTTACAAGTGTGTTACGTTCGAGGAATTAAATTGGATTAGCGTACTTACACGGTGTATTCGTAAGATGCATGAACGTTACTCGGAGTGGCGGTCGATACGCGCGTTTTCTTATACGCGATCTTGTCGGCCTTTTGCCGTGATCGATACTTGTTGTTACGACGATAAATGAATATGAATACGCGACATCGATCAAATTTATTCCTTAAATGGATACACGTCAGCTTTTTTTCTTTTTATGGAGATGGAATTTTTGAAAAGCAGCTACGAAAGATTACGTATTAGAACGTTTTATAAAGAATATAGTAGAAATATAGTAGAAATAGCGGGATAAACGAATATATTATATAGGCATTATATCAAATTTATTCTCTTTTTTTTTTTTTTATTTTTAAATTTTGAAAACGACTTGCAAGAAAGATTGCGTATTAGAACGTTTTATAAAGATAGGGAACATGATTAAAGAAAGGAAAGGACGGAAAATAGCGTTCGAGAGAGAAGAGAAGCATGGGTTATAAACCGTGCTCAGATTGGCAGCGCGCCCATATTCCAAGGTACGTAGCCACTGACTTTTTGCCGTCCCTCACAAGCCAAGGTGAGAAATTGAAAAGTGGCTGTCCGCTGGGTAATTAAGATTTCGGCTCTTTGTACCGTACGGAGATCCTTGGATCTTGCTCCCCGTCGATTTTGCGCCATCTTTTGGCAAGGTCTCCAATCTCAAAGCTCGTGTAACTATGCGTTATCCGTATTCGCTTAAATCGTTCGTGTTTCTATCGCATAGATCACATCTTTATCTTTCTTTGCCAAATTATACCAATAATTCTTTTCTCCATGAAAGAATAATAAGAAAAATCGTACTATAACAATCGTTTAGAGAGAAAAAAAAATCTTAATTTCGCGAAATTGGACGAATTAAAAGATAACGTGGAAAAATAGGAAAAATTCCGGGATAATGTGTTAATTCGAATGGAAAGAGGTTGAATAGAGTGACCGGTTGACCCGGTGAACGAATCCGAGGAGAAGATATCGCGAAAAGAGTGGCGATTCCGTAGTGGTAACGAGTCGAGATGGCCGAGAACATCGGCGGTGCCACTTCAAAGCGGGAATCCCGCGCAATCAGATTCTCTTGCCCTCCCTGCTCGCTTGAAAAACCGAGCGAGGGGCTACCAGATCTCTTCGTCTCTTCCTTCTTCTGTCCTCTCTTTGGGCTGGACGTTCGCCAGGATATATCCAGCCGCATCGAGTAACGATCATCTTTCCAACGATTCTCCGTTAACACCATCGTTTTCATTGAAATTTTTAAAATCGAAATCGAAAGACGAATCGAGCTCGATATATGCTGTAATGGAAATTCAAAAAAATTGCAGAAAATTTGAGAAAAAAATTTATTGTTTTTAATTTATTATAAATTCATACTCTTTTGGACTTATTATTAATTTTAATTTTGTAAAATTAAAATTTTGAAATAAAAAAGTTCTAATTTTTTTTCCCCTTTTTTTTAAAAAATATTTTTCGATCTTTTAATAATATACGAGCAAGAAATAAGAATTCGATCGAAATCATGTATGTTGCAGAAGGATATCGTAAATTAATGAAAATTCAATTAGCACGTAGATAAAAATATTTATCATCGTGATTTCACAAGTTTCGTAGCGCACGCAAGTGTCGTTTCTTTTTCGTTTTTATCATCGGCTCGTGTAACCGTAAGCACGGAACAACATCGTTAATGATGTTATCACGACGCGATTCTCGTGCTTTTTTTTCGATTACTCTCCTCGGCTACGCGTTCGAGAAAATATCGTCGAAGACAGTTACGAGTAATTACAGCCTTGTAAAATATTGCACCTGTATTAATGCGTAGTGAACGAATACTTTCGTACAATTCGAAGCATTTGCATGTCGACGTCGTAAATTCGTAAAATCTTAACCTCGTCGCCCTTCGTTGCCTCACGAATCTAATAATTTGAGGTTGTTTTTAATAACCATTAGATGAATAATTTATCATCATTTTGTTTTCATTATTAATTTCAATTCGATCGGAATGACATAAATGACTTTATAAGTTTTAGAAAAGCGTATATTAATGAAACGCTTTTATAGAAATCAAACGGTGAATTTTACCAATTAAATTTGATCCACAAGAATCAAAAGCTATTATTAAGAATTTTCAAGCAACGTCTATAAATAATTTCAAAACTTGAAATAAATTTATCGTCAGCTTTTCGAAGAAATTATTTTATAAAGAGAAAGATCTATATTTTTATAATGCAAGATTCATCACTTTTTACACAACCTAACCTTACCACGTATGTTCCGTTAGAACGAGCTTATCTGTTTGTCGTGATTGTTCTAGCCTCAAATTGGCGTCAAGTTCGAGCCAAATGATGAAAAGTTGCGGTAAATCTAATACGGCTATAAAGCAACGATACCAGAGATATACGCGCGAAAATGGACGTCGAATGTACATTTGTTATGCCTATCTATAAATTCGTTTTAAATTATCGGATTTATGCGCCATGTACTTGTCCGAGGGCACGCTCGTACCCGTGAAAAATTTCGGCCGTTTCAAACGACAGCGTGGATTAATCGTGCGATTAAAGAAAAGATTCGTGCTTACAGATTGAGAAGTTCCGTTTTCATCCCACGATCGTGATTCGTTTTATTTATTTATTTTTTACAAATTTGCATGGAGAATTTTCATTTTTAATTGTCATCACGTGGAATATAAATAAAATAAAAAAAAAATGCTACGAACTTGCTTTATAATTTTGCTGTGAATCAACATATGGCTTGGATTTCTTTTAAGTCGAGAGACTTAATTTTATTCTCTCCGTTATTCTAATACAAATTACCGTGATGATTTGCAGAAAAAGAACGCGCCTCGATTTAAAAATACTTTTAACATCTTAATTTTCTCGAGATGGAAAAAAATTACTCAAAATGTTTTCAGAAGGAAAATCTCTTCTCTCATAATCAAGCAAAGTCCATTTCTAGATGGCGCTTAGAGTTTTTTCTTTCTTTTAACTTCTTGTCGGTAAAAAATATATTGGACACTCGCTTTCACTAAAAATAGAACGTCTTTAAATAGCATGCCGCGGGGAGTTTCGCATTAAATAAAAAGATACGAATTATATACGAAGAATTGATTTAAAATAGAGATATTTTTGTGGAATTTTTAAATATTTTGTTAAATATTTACAGTCACGTGAAAAAACTTGATGCATCACTTTTTCAATAAAAGTTTGACAATCAATTTTGAAAATTTTGATCGTAAAAATATTTTTATATAACAAACACGAGATCAACTCGAGATAAGATAATAGCAAATGATTGATTCACGCGAAACAATCCCGCATTGGTGGCGTTAAACTCAAAACGGTTAAAGATGCTAATCGCAGATATTGGTGTATCCACATGTCATAACATATATGGGATCGAAAGATATCCTCGGTTATCTCGTTTCTAGCTAGAAGATCGCTTCCACCGATATCATAGTTGCTTGCCGTAATTGGTCTCGAGGTCTTGTTTCTCCAGGATTCTCACCAATCTTTCTCCTCAGAGCGGCGGTATGGCGGATTGCATCGCTCGTCCATGCACCACGGTTTAACCTTAAACACTAACGTGCAACTTTGATAGAAATTCGCATTAGTATGCTCGATGCTCCGTCACGTCCCGCGATACAACCTTTCTGATTGCGACGTTTTTCGCGTTTAACGGTTTTCTACCTGTCCTCGATGTCATTTTCGTCGTGAAAACCTGTTGCACATTCGAATCGATTTTTTCGCACTTGATCGGGGATACATGTACAGGAAGTTATGTACAAAAAGACGCGAAGTGATTCTTTGTGAAAAAAGTAAGAAAATTTTTTTAGTCTAAAGGAAATCAAGTTTGAAAGATTTTTAAGCGAGATTAATGATTAATTTTTTCATCGGATACAAATGAATTATCGATAAGAGAATATTCTACTATTTCTGTGAAAAAGAAAAAAATATAGAATAAAATTTTATGTTCAAGACCTTGTTTTTGAAGAAATCGTATATTAATTAAGAAAATTAAAAGTTTTTAAGTATAATCTATTTTCACATGTAGAATAACCTCTAATTGGAAAAAAAATTTTCTTATTTTTTTCATAAGAAATATTTTGAAGTTCTTTAATTCTCATTTAATAAGTTTAGAGAAAAGGAATCGATTAATTTCTGAAACGTACCAATCCGATTTTGCTTTTATTTAAAAAAATTTCTCATACTTTTTCATACTATATTATATTTACTGTTCTATACTACTGTTCTATACTATACTATAATAAATAAAATGGGTATAAAATAGTATTCCTATTCTCCTTTCCATTTTAAAAATTCCATTTGTTTTTTGACGAAATTTTATTTACAGTAAAAAATTTTATTGTAAACAAGTTACAACATGGATGTATCCATGAAGCATGTATTTTGGAATAAGATAGAAACTAGCTACTTTTACACTATTGATTCAATTATTCTATAATACGATTGATTCATTCGCCGAAGAGGATTTACTCTTTCGCATTCGAGCGATCCTTATATACGTAGTATCACGATATTATTTACACGCATCGGATGCAAAATTTACTTTACATGTATGATCGATAGACTAGGTGCCGAGTTTTAACTGTAAGCTGTCACGTTGTTATCTCCGGATTGTTAATTGTCCGTCAATGATTACGTGTTTCGCAATTTAGACGATTATCGAGAGGAGAAGATGCTTTGTGCGTCAGGCATAAATTATCCTTGAGAAGTTGCTAGAAATCGACTGCGGTCGAACAGTCGGTAGCGTATTTTGACGTTTAACGGTGCTTCTCCACGCTATAAAGTGATCCTCTCCCTGTAAATTTTAAATATCCAAGTTTTTATATCTGTGACGAGTATACATTAGCTTGGATCATCGATTATCAGTGGAAATAAATAGTATATCGAAATATATAGCGTGAGTATTTGAGCGATTCTTATGTATTTAAAATTTATGCAGACAAGTTAGGTTAGAAATCACTTTTAGCACAAATTGAAAAATTACAATTAAGAGTTATAAATTTTGTTAATAAATAGAGAATGAATCGTAATATCTTTATGAAACATCGATTCTCCAAGTGTATCATCGAGAAAGATTTAAAATAAGAAAGCTAACCTCATCCACGCGCTCATTATTTTTGATGATTGGTATTTGTGCTGATTTCTATATAGAAAAAATTCATTGGATCCGTAATTATGCGATTATCTGGGCATCTTCGTCCACAGAAAAATAGTGAAACGTTGCTTTTGAATAAAAGTAGAGATATAAAATTGTGAAACGAACGATTCTAAATTAACGATAAACGCGGTAGCAAAAAAATTATCTTCCATTTACTGCAACGTGTATCTACCGTATTTATTTCTCATTTATGAACAGACAAAAATCTCGCATAAGTTGCGTAATATCACTCCAATCTAGTGCCATGAAAACATAAATAAAATTACAGCTTCTGAATAAAATAAAAATCATAAAGTACGCTACTCGAGAAACGTGAAATACTGCTAATTTAATAATCCTTCTATCATCGCCTACTTGTAATGTCTATCATTAAAATCATGTAACAGGTCCGCTTTTTACCGTTATTCTGTCGAATAAAAGAATCGTTGGAATCAAATCTTGATATTACGACTTTTGGCGATATCTTATCTATAAAATATGCCTAATTTTGCATCGACATGAGAATTAACTTTTGCATCATACGATATCCACCATACGAATGATCGATAATTTTGATTTTTCTCGTTGCAGCAGCAATACGAAATATATACATTACATATACGAAATGTTAATACATTTGTGGTATATTTTAGAGAGTAAAACAAACGCATACATAGAAGTATTCAAAAATATCGATTGAAAATTATTTATTAAATTATAATACGAAATATATAGAATATGTTAATATATTCGTACATATTTGAAAAATCATTCTAGAGAGCAAGAGTCGTACAAAAATATTGGTTGAAATTTATTTATTAAATTACAAATAATTAAAGAGAATGAAATCATTCTGTTCCTGTCTCGCTTCATAAATTTTCATACAAACAACTTTTTCACCTTTCCAAAAATGTGTCATAAATATATCAATATCCTATACATCCAATCATTCTATTATTATAAAGACATTTATAATCTCTGAATGATAACCTTCGAATACCAGAAAGTTAACGAACAAGAAAGGAATAAATCAATGATCAAGAAGTTTGTCGTTTCTTTTCATTCCCTCAACATCGATCAAATAAAGACGAGGCAAGTATGGTAGCTACGAAAAACGTTACGCATGCAAAACGAATCTTACTCGTCTCTCCCTCTCCCCTCCCTTTTGTCCTCCAAGCTTTTTTTATCTCGTTACGAGGATATAAATCGGCGAGGTCGATGCAGAGGTCGGGTTGTACGGTCGCGAATAGGAGGGTCAGCCTTTTTCTTCGCCATTACCAGAGGTATGGACGTCGCTTCTGGGTGGTAATTAGCTCCAATCCTAGTAACGGCGTCGTATATCTCAATTTTTACACAATCCTCGCCGCACTCTCTCTCTCAGTGTTCGTTATTTGTATGCTATCATTGTATTTACTCCTCCTACCGTTGAGATTCATAGTCTTTGCTCGAATGACTACCAGAGTAATTTGTCCACAATAAAAATTGTCCACCTCGATCGATCGTCTCGTACCATCGTGATTCGTGTACCATAGAAACGTTGGGCTAGAAGAATGTATATAGAGTGTGGTAAATACAACGAGTTCTGTGAAGGATCGTATACAGTATAAGTTTAATAGAAATTGCGACAAACGTCAAATTGTTGTAACAGTTAACGAGGCTAAATTGCTCGTTAACGTGTTATGCGTTTACGCGTATAGAAAAAGTGACGCAGCGAAGAAGGAAGAACGAAAAGAACGACAGGGAGACATTTTATCCAGATAAAAAACGGAAAGAGTCAGTACGTACTATGGGTTACTGTCCGTATCGCCAGCAGAACGAGCGCTGTAATGCTCGAAGACAGGATGCATCGATGACCAAGCATCGATTGGCTATGAGGAAACGACAGTTAAGAGAGAACTTTTAATTTACAACTTATTAAATTTTCTCTCTCTCTCTCTCTCTCTTTCTCTTTTTATTCTCCCGCCACTTCGCTAAATGATCATTCGTTCAAGGTGGCTTCGCCACGTCCTTGATCTTCACCACGCCACGTGATTTATGGAGATGCATTGACAACGACAGGACGTAAGTCGTATCCAAAGATCCGATGATAATAAACTCGGCAACGGTACTTTACCTTTCCTACACTCTCGTCGCTCGAACTCTCGTCGAGAAGAAAGTGTGAAAATGTTCTTGACCACAATCAAAAAAGAGGAGAGAAAGAGAGAGGAGAGAGAATTGGATTCATTTGAGTGAATTAAAAATAATCTCGAAGGAACAGTTGCAAATGATTCTTCCGCTTCGAAGTGAAGATTTCTTCCTATTCTCTCTCTCTCTCTCTCTCTCTCTCTCTCTCTCTCTTTCTACTGCGTCTTTTCGCTTACAGTGACGAAGTCGGATTAACAACAACGGATGTTCCGTGATCCTGATTGGGATGGTGACTGGTTGGAAAGCTTTGAACCAGTCTCGTTTGCGCAGTCTCCGCTTTTCTTCCGTGAAAGGAGAGGCGATGTCATTTCGGTAGCCACGCAAGCCTAGGGACTAATATCTGCGCGCGATTGTCGGCGATTCGACACGTGCAACTTCCTGCTTCCAGCGGAGGGAGAAAAAGAATACCTCCCAGGTTGAAATTAGTGTGATTCCAACCTCCGATTAGATCCGTAGACCGTAGATAAGCTACTGTCTAAGCTTTTTCTCCAATTGAGGGGTCCACTTGGCTGAAAGGACCACCTAGACTAGGGATTTGTGGAATATGGAATTCAATAGGAAAATTTAATAGGTTTTCAACAGGAAATAACGAAATAACGAAAATGAAGGATGAGTTTATCGAGATAATCAGGATATGCAAGTTGTAAAGATATTTGTTTCGCGTATACTTTCACTTTCGAATCTCGTGCATCCTAGTGATAATTGTGTTAGTTTTTTTTTCTTCTATTGGCATCGACTAGTCAAACTATCGCTTCTTGCACGAATAATGAAAAAGAAAGAAACGAATCTCAACTTACTTTTTGCAAAACGCGGATTCGACGAAGAGAGAATATTGGAAATCCGTTCGAAATGGAATTTACCCAAAAGGGATAGTAACTTCGATGCTTGACACATTGATGACAGGAGAAGCTGATTCGCTAATTCTCACATACTTCGGCATCTTATAAAAAAATGTTAATAAAAAAAAAGGAATGGATGCTATGAACAAAATGTTACGAATGTCATATGGTTTAATAATAATCAATATTTTAAAAATTTTTTAAAAACTTTTTATTTAATTATCTTAATCTTGAATAAGCAACAATTTCTTTCATAACTAATTTAAAATTTGCTACTAACTCATCAATATAATATAGTTAAATTTGAAACTAATAAAGTTAATAATTTTAAAATTACAATTTAATAAATAAGCATAAAGTATTAATAAATAAATTCCAGTTATAATTAAAGTTGATGAATAATTAAAGATGAGACTAGTCTATTGCTATTGTTATAATCAAGCTTTTTTAAGTAAAAGCTATTATTAATAAAAAAGAATATTATAAATTCATTTATTTTATAAAAAATTAAATTTCATCTTCTAAAACGTGTTGCACATATTATCATTAATAAACCTGAATCACCAATACGATTTAAAATAATACTTACTCCTGATAGTTACTATTCCTAATGAGAAGGCGATCAAGAAGATGGAAGATCAGTCGAATATAGCGCAGAAATTTACGCTATAAACAATGATGCGTTATCGGATGTGACCAAGTGATATTGAAATTGACTTTTTTAACACAATATATGTAAATTTAGTACCTCTTCTTCATTGGAAATATTTTCAAGCTATCACATTATCACACTAAAAAATATGTTATTAGAAGCATCTTTAAATATGCTTATTAATTTTTAATAAAATCATTACACTTAAATGTTATATACTCTTTCGAGTCTTTTCAATCATTTATTATAAACAATTATAAATCATTATAAGTAATTCAAAAAACACGTGGGAATTCAAGTTGCACGCTTATCAGAGTATACCATCATCGATGGATCTAATAGAGTCTTCCTCCAGACAACTCGACAACCGTCAAGTTTCTTTCATCCGGTTGAAAAGGATTGCGATAAAAAATCAGAGGATGTAGGTGGACCCGATTAAAACCTGTGCTTCCTTCATCCTCGATGCCTCTAATTATAGAATACTATCATCTCCACGGTCCATCGAAGATTGAATCGGATCTTCGTAAAGGCACAACGTTTAACGATTGACAAATAACGATTAAGCACCTGTTCACACGATTACCCTTTGCCTCTTCTTTTTTTAATTCGGTTTCGATGCTTTTGCGTCGATCCAGTTTCTCCCACGCTTCCCCCTTTCCTCCCTCTTTCCAATAGCTTTCTCTCCGAAAGCTCCATCATTTCTCACATCCCTTTTTTTCTTCCTTGTTTTTTTTTATCGATCATTTTAATTCACACAAACTCTTCCATTTCGACTTTGTAAAAAGAAATATTGTATCTAAGCGAAAAATGTCAATTTAAAATTAAAGTTAAAATAGAATTTTTAATTTTTTTTTTCTTCGAGAGAGAGAGAGAAATTCTTTCTTTATACATACTTACATCGTTTTGACAAAGGAATGATTAATTTCAAAATTCGTGAGAGCAATTTGCGAGAGACACGAATCAACACGATAAATAAAGGTGTGCTCTGCACGTGTGCGGTTGTTTTTTTTTTTTTTTTTGTAAAGCGTAGCACGGGTCAAAGATAATTTCTTCTAATAAAAGGAGCTTCCTTGTGGTCATATATAGTCGATACCTGGTCGACTTCGATAGAATTGGACCAGCGTTTCTGCTCTGCCCCATTATCTCTAAATTCCCGGATCGCTGTAGCCGCATTGTGACTTAATTCACCTTTCCACCACGCTCACGATGGGTGGTCGGTACGGATTTCTCTTCTATTTTCCTCGTACAAGAGTATACACCCCGTTGAGCGTGAGTAACGCTTGTAGATCTCGCTCCTATCTGCCTCTTAATCCTCTTAAAAATCCTCAAAAATTCTTATCACCTCTGCTTTTGAAAATATTAATTTTAAGATATTCTTCTTTCATTTTCAAACGAATCTTAAATTTCCTTCCTTATTTTTCCTTTCCCTGAAAAAGAAAATACAGCGTAGCATATATCGTGTCGTGGAAAAGAATCGAAAGGATCTCGAAAGGCGTGAAAATGATGTGAAATTTTCCCATCCCACCCCTTCAATAAAATTCTATTCTATCGTTCGACCATTATTTTCCATTTCCACTTGGGTGGCCACGATTACATGGGCTTTTAGGTTAGACAATGCTAAATCTTGGAAGATTCTTTGATGTTGCGAGGCCACGAGGGAGGAAGACCCACTGATCGATTTCTCCCCACGCACAAAGTATGGAACGTCTTCATCAAAACGGAAGATACTCCCCTTTCCTTTAATCTCCCACGACACGGAGCGTCATCTTCGTTCGTTTTCGATTGTAGGCCACAGCGATGACTCGTGCTTTCCGCCAGGATGTGGCGCGCCAGATGCGCCGATCACACCATCTCGGGACGACTTCTGCAAAGAGAAATTCGATCACGATTCACACACACTCCCCCCCCCTCCATTTCCATTTCCATCCGACAACAATTCCTTTCAATTTGTATCCACCGATCGGTTATTTTTTTTTCCTATCATCGAGATCGTTCCTTCCTTCCTTCCTTCCTTCCTTTCTTCCTTCTTTTTTTCCTTCGAGAAAGCGAAATGATTATATATATATACACAGAGATCAAAGCGAGAAGGAACGAGAAGATTTTTAGATTCAAAGGGGAATGAATCTTGCCCGGAAGTTGTTCACGTAATCTCCCTCTTGATGGAAGTTTAAACCGTCCAAATGGATTTTTAATTGTGCTCGAAAGTATATTTATTCTCCACCGAGCGGTGGAAAATAGGAAGTTTAAATAATATATATATATATATATTTAATAATAATAATGTAAAAATTTGTTCACAGCACAGTGAACGACGCGCCTTCCTTTCTCCCATTTTCCCACGGAGTTAAATCTCTCCACTCCTCGTTTTCCCTTTCTCTAAATTTAGGCCCATACAAATTTCCCCTCCTCCCTTCCCCCCTCTCCTCACCTCAACGACTAACACCGGAGGAGAAGAAGAAACGTTCACGCGGCACGATCGATCGCCTGTGTAATCACGTGTTCTTTCTTCTCTTCGTTTCCGTACCCTGTAGTTTCGAGTCCGATGCTGCGACAACACCATACGGAACGTGTAACGAGTTCCGAGCGAATACATCTCGAGATTCTCGATTTTTGCGGAAGCAATCCTCCTTTAAACACTTGTGCTCGTATCTCTTTCTTCTCACATCGCGTTGCTCCCGTTCTTTACCGGTATCGAGAAGAGAGAGAGAGAGAGAGAGAGAGAGATTCTCCGAGATCATTGGGAAGAGAGGAAGCTGGAATGGAAAGAAGAAGAGAAAGTGTATCTCTGTTATAATTTTCGTGCGTATGGACGACCCGGAGATTGCGTGCCTCGTGACGTGCACGCTTGCCACTCGAGCGGGGGTTCCACGTGGTTCGATGGTTATGCGATTGTATCGGGTGAACATCTTTGGATCGAGATTTCTTTTGGGTTGCCGCTTCTGTCGATTTCGCGATTACGAAATG